ACATGAACACACACACACACACACACACACACACACACACACACGCTAGGTACGTATCATGCTGGCCCTATAAAAAAACTGCATGCTGTTCATACATCAGTGAAATCAGCTGAGGATCTTTTCTGGGGACACAACATCTACGAGGGTGAACAGTGCATCTGAATTTGAGAGTATCAAAACATCCCTTACAGCCCAGTGGGAAGACCACTCAGTAGAATTAGCCCAGAGCTTGGGCAGGCAAAACAGGGATGCCCTGGAATAGTTCTCTCCACTGAGTGGGTCCTGGGGATGGAACTTTGGCTGTCAAGTTTGGGTGCCATAGCACCTCACTGGCCTCACTTTTAGCCTATTTTAAAAAGGAAACAGAGAAAACCAACTTTTTAAAGAGGTGAGCAGTTGGGGAAGTATCCTCAGTCAGCCTCTGAAGCATCCTTCTCATCCCGCAGGTGGAGAAACACGTCAGTGATGCGGTTGCCAAAGGAGCCACAGTTGTGACAGGTGGAAAGCGACATGAACGTGGAGGGAATTTCTTTGAGCCCACCCTGCTCAGCAACGTCACCACGGACATGCTCTGCACCACTGAGGAGACCTTTGGGCCTCTAGTGCCAGTTGTCAAGTAAGATCCCAGGCCTGGAGGCAGGGGAGAGTGGAAAGGAAAGTGTGGCCTATCAGAGGTCGGGTAGGGCGTACCGAGCTGCTGCAGCCAGAGCTGCACCGGGCCAGCTCAAGGGCAGAGGTCCACTTAGGATTTGGGGGGAGGGGTGTTTGTTCTTTTGACACAGGGTCTTCTGTAGCCCCAGCAGGTCTGGAACTTGCTATGTAGACCCGGCTGGGCTTCAACAGCGATCTGTGCCCCCTCTGCCTCTTGAGTGCTAGGATTAAAGGCGCGGACCACCAGCCCTCTTTTTTGGGTGGGGAAGTGGTGTGCGCAGGTGCATGTGTGTATGTACATATCGAGGCCAGAAGCCAACTCTGGATGTTGTCCATCAAGAGCTCTCTACCCTGTTCTTTTTGAGACAGAGTCTCGTGGTGGGACTCACTGGTTAGGCTGGCTGGCTGGCCAGCACACCCCAGATATCCGCCTCCTCCACCTCCTCAGCACTCGGATTACAAGCCCATGCCACCATGCCTAGCTTTTTTACCTGGGCTCTGGGGCCCAAACTCAGGTCCACATGCATTTTACTGACTGAACCCATACCCCTACAGCCAGTTTTTGGGTTTGGGAGGATTTATTTTTGTTTTATGGAGGGGTTGTTGTTATTTATTTTTTATTTTATTTTTTGAGACTGGATCTCACTCTGTAATCCAGGTTGGCCTGAACTCACTTGTAGCTCAAGCCAACCTGGAACCCTCAACCCTAACCCTTAGTCTCCCGAATATTCAGACTATAGACGAGTAACACCCAATTTCCAGCACATTTGCCAGATTTCTTCAGCTGTCTTCTTTTTGCTCCCTCTGAACTTACTTTTCTTCCTAATGGATTGAGTGTTTAAAGGGCTCTTTCCTGGGAGCGTGTGTGAAATGAACTGTGACCTTTTGTGATCTTTTTTCTCACCTTCACATGTAAATAATAATTTTCATAAATAAAATTCTAGATCAGCTGGGCATGGTGGCACACGCCTTTAATCCCAGCACTCAGGAGGCAGAGGTAGGTGGATCTTTGTGAGATCGAGGCCAGCCTGGTCTACATGGTGAGTTCCAATCCTGCTGGTGCTACAGGGAGACCCTGTCTCAGAAAGACCAAAAATATAAATAATTCTTGGTCAGAGCTCTGACAGTTCATCCCACTGCCTCTTGGGTCCAGGGCTGCTGTTGAGAAGCCAGATGTCTGCTTCTTGCTCTTCTGAAGATCTGCTTTTTCTTTGGTAACTCAGAATTCTCTTGGTCTATATGTTCTTACAGTCTGTGGTGTAGCGCTGGTGCTGCGCTGTGAGCCTGCTCAGTCTGGGGTTCCGATGGCCTGTTTCTGTCCAGGGTTTCCCCTTCCAGCCTCCTGAGAAGCCTATTACAGTGATACTTTTGCTTCGGTCTTTGACTCTGATTCCTGATGGCTCCCGAGTCCTTCCTCTCCCTCCACCAGCCTGTCCATCCGTTCTTTTCACACACAAATAGCCCACAGGTTCTCTGTCACAGTAATTATTTGTCACCCCTTGACCTTCCCCATCACTGAATCTACCTGCTCTGTCTCCCCCTTGTCTGGCTGTGGCTGTTTTTCATTTTCTTACCTTGGCCCTGTCCACGGTCTCTGCATCCTCTGTAGACTGTATGTGCGCTGTGTTTCTTTGTTCAGGGTTCCTCGGATATCTTAGAATTTCCCGTCAATTCATCCTTTGCTCCTTGCACTGGTAGCACGTGGCCCACAGTGTCTGCCATGGGTTGTGGCAAAAGCCTGGACCTTGTGTCTGTGGCTTCCTGTGCCTTTGGAGGGCTGAGTGCTGAAGAGTTGCTGCCTCTGAATTTATGTTTCTGATTATAAGATGCCCAGGACAGGCATGCTGGCTCATGCCTATAATCCCATCACTCCAGACATTAAGGCAGGCGGACTGCAAGTTTGAGGCTAACTTGGGCTATATGGTAAGACCACGTCTCAAAAAAGAAAAGTATATTCTGGGCATGGTAGCACATATCTTTAATCCTAGCACTGGATAGGCAGAGACAGGTGAATCTCTGTAAGTTTAAGGCCAACCTGGTCTACATAGCGAGCTCCAGGCCAGCTGGGGTTACAGGGAGACCCTGTTTCATAAAAAGACCAAAAAAAAAAAACAAAAGTTTAGGAAAGAGGAAGGGCAAGGGCACAAAATGTATAACAGGTTAAAATGACTCCTAATACTTATATAAAGAAAAGAACAGGCGATAATCTGTCTCAGAAACTGTGATGAGCGTAAGAAGGAAAAGGTGTTTACGATCTGTACAGCTGGTTGGCAGCTGGCTTCAGACTTTTGAAATTTCACATCTAGACTTTTCTAAAAAATGTATTTTTTTAAATTTTATGTGTATGAGTGTATTGCCTGCATGTATGTAAGTGCACAGTGTCATGCAGTGCCCACAGAGGTCAGAAGAGAGTGTCAGATCCCCTGGAACTTGAGTTAGAGATGGTTCTTAGCCAATATGTGAGTGCTGGAAACTGAGTCCACATCCTCTGTAAGAGCAGCCAGTGCTCTTAACCACTCAGCCATCTCTCCAGCTCCACTTCCACTTTTTAACAAGTGTCTAATTCATACTACTTTGGGGGAACATTTTTGTCAAAATCTTAAAAAAGTTCCTACACCTGGCATTATTTTAAAATCTCCATTCTCAGGGCCGTCCAACCACATGTACCCCCCACCCCCAGGTTACTTCACTATTCTCTTTACTGAGAGTACTGGCATAGGGAGGAAAGGTGTCCACTGAGGACTGAGGAATGAGGCCACTGGCTCCGGCCTTGGCCTGGTTTGCTCTATATGGCTGCTGTGACCAGGCACTAGCTTGGCCCCTCCTGCCCCATCGCTACCCAGTAGGGACCCAGGAGTCTAGGGCAGTTTCATGATGACCTGAAATTCACCATGGGGAGGCGCAGCACGAAGCAGCTCTGCTTCCACAGGCTCTGTGGGACCCTGCCCTGCCCACCCCAACCTGCCCACCCCATAGCAGCTGCCCGTAGCATCTTCTAGAAGTGTCTGGCGTTCCTAGTCAGTGGCTGATGGAGGGTTTAACAGTTTTTTTTTTTTTTTTTTTGGTTGTTTGGCTGTGTGTTTTTTGAGACAGGGTCTGTTGAATCTTGGGCTAGCCTTGAGCTTCCTATGTAGCCAAGGATGACCTTGAACTTCTGGTCCTTCTGCCCATAGCTCCAGTATGCTGGGATTACAAGTGTGCACTAGCCCCACCCCCTCACTCCCAGCCCCACTGATCCTGGGGCTTTTGTTGAGCCATGATTTTCTCTCCCCTCGTCCTCAGCACTGGGTATTCTGGGCTCGCTGGCCACAGCTGGTGGCTGTGATGTCCTGTCCAACCCGGACCAGAAATGTCCCTACTGTTTACCTCACCTTGCTCATGAGTTTGTGTATTATTCCTCTTTTGGGGAAACAGAGCACTTACATTCCGCTTCCCTAGAGTGTGAACTGAGAGTTTTCCCAGGAAACTGAAGGGTGCAGTGCCCAGGTTCCTGACTTTGGATCTAACAGAGTCAGTTCAGGCTTTGTGAACCTCCTCAGCCAAGTTAGCTTCCCCAGCTCCTCTGCCCAGCACCCCAAGTTAGCTTCCCCAGCTCCTCTGCCCAGCACCCCAAGTTAGCTTCCCCAGCCCCTCTTCCCAGCACCCCAAGTTAACTCCCCTCAGCCCCCTCGGCCCAGCACCCCAAGTTAGCTTCCCCCAGCCCCCTCGGCCCAAGCACTCCAAGTTAACTTCCCCCAGCCCCCTCGGCCCAGCACCCCTCAAAGCCCTGAGAAAAGATGGCCGGTTCCCTGCTGGCAGAGCCCCACATTTAGAAACTGGAGCTCTGAGAACTTTGGCCCTCAGTCACAATTCGGGAATGACAGGATTATCACTTAAATCTTTTGTTTTTGTTTATTGAGACAGGGTCTACCTGGAGATCTAGCTGGCCTGGAGCTTGACCAGGTTGGCTTTGTGCATGTGTGGAGGTAAAAATGGCAATTTGGGGAAGCCGATTCTCTCCTTCTACCATGGGGACTGAACTCGGGTCCATCAGGCTTATCAGCATGTGCCTTTACCCGCTAAGCCATCTCACCAGTCCCAGTGTCACTTAAATCTTGTTACAAAAATGAAATTATAGGACTGGAGAGTTGGCAGAGGGCTGTCATTTCAGAAAGGAACAGACATCAAGTACCAGGGCTTTGTCATGTAGAACTGAGTGATAAGGGTGCTTCAGATCCCGGCCTGGACTGTCTCTGCATTGTGCTTGCTTAGAAATAGTGTTTAAAAATAGTTATTTTAATAAGTAAACAAAGTAGCTGCTATGATTAGAGATTTTCGGTAATCGCCAAGAGAGGTGATCCTTTTTCTTTAAAAAATTACTTGTTTATTGTGTGTGTGTATTTGTGTGCGTGTGTGCACCTGTGTGCACGTGTGTGTGTATGCGTGCCTGTGTGTGTGTGTACCTGCCAGAGCACACGTGGAGGCCAGAGGACAAGGTTAAGGAGTTAGTTCTCATTCTCCACCTTGTTTGGACAGTTAGGACTCTATGTTTCCACTGTGCGGTGTGCACCAGGCTAGCTGGCCTGTGAGCCTCCAGCCGACACTCCTGCCTCGGTCTCCTGTGGGTGTGCTTTCCGTAGGCGTGCTGGGATTGCAGGTGATTGGCACCGTGTTCAGCTTTTTATGTGGGTTCTGGGGCTTGTCTGGTTTGCATAGTGAGTACTTTGACCAGATGAACCATTTTCTCTGGCCTTATTTTTTGATACAGGGTCTTGCTGTTTGGCCAAGGTGGCCTGGAACTCTGTGTGGCCTCAACCTCAGGGCTGTTGTCCTGCTTCAGCCTCCCAAACGCTAGGATTCTGCACATGCACACACTTCTGGCTTGGTAACTCTTTTCCTAAGGGGTCTTGTTTGGTGGTGTCTCTGCCAGGTTAGCCTGCTTTTCCTTTGTTCTCTTAGAAGAGGGACTGGTCGATGCGGTGGGTCTGTGTGAAGGTTGAGTCGCCTCCATGTCTGCCTGTACCTCCCCCCGGTTCCTCTGCACTGAGTTCCTTCTGGCCATTGTTCAGAATATGAATCAGGGAAAGAGAGTTGATTTATTTTGCTTATGATTTAACTCTTGACAGGTTCGATACCGAGGAGGAGGCCATAGCCATCGCGAACGCAGCTGATGTGGGGTTAGCAGGTAGGTGTCTGACTGGCAGCCCTGAGGTCATTTTCTCTCTCTCTCTTTTTTTTTTTTTTTTTTTTTTTGGTCTTTTGAGACAGGATCTCCCTGTAGTCCCAGCTGGCCTGGAACTCATAGCGTCAGGCTCTGCCTTTTAAACACTGCTCTGAGTTCTGAGACGCAAACGTAAACTGCGTGTGTGTGCTTTGTGGCTTTACAAGTAGCAAAGAGTGTCTGTGCTCCATCTCCCTGTCCCACAATCCACGTCTGGAGCTTTTTAGTCAGAGTGGAGGGTAGGGGACAGTGGAGAGAAAGGGTAGTGTGGATTATTCTAGATGGAGAGTCACATGCGTGTCCTGAGTCATAATGCTCGGAATTCCAAGTTTGTTTTCTCCCATTTTGCCTGATTCCTGAAAGCGTTGAGGCCACCTTAGGTCACACACATCAGCAGAGAATCCAGACGGTGAGAGAGGGGAGGTGGATGGTGTGCGCGCTGCACATGGACCCTCACAGGTGGCCGCCATTCTTGCAGTTAGGAAGTGACCCTTAGGAAACTGCAGCCTCAGAGATTACAGTATCGTGGGAGGCCAAGGTAAAGTGTAAGACACTTAAGGCATGGAGGCTCCCCTGTGGGTGTGATGCAGACTGCTTAGAACAAGAGACAGCTGAGGTGTTGTCACAATGCCGTGGTTCCAGCAGGAGCAAGGTGGGCACCCAGGGATTCAGCAGCTTCGTGGCCTCTGCTTCTTCCCTTGTCCGTGGGGTGATGGCTGAGGAAGTCATGCCCTCACCCAGGTCATAGTGATGGGAAAGATGCCAGCTGTGCCAAGACTGGAGGCGTCTGGGCAGAGAGGGTCAAGCAAGCATAGACTCAGCATAAGCGGGAACAGAAGGATCGTGAACTTGGTCGATGAGCTTGGAGACAGTAGCTGGTAACTGGGGTCGTGGAGAATAAGCTGAAAGTGTCGATTGAAACCACATTGAGGGTGAGGGCGACCCCACTAAAGATGTGGCTGTATTTCACAGATGACCAGGAGTTACTGCAGGGTTTGAGCAAAAGAGTTGTGATGTCTTAATGTTCCACACGCTGTGAATGCCCTTTCCCCCCATGCCAGGTTACTTTTACTCTCAGGACCCAGCCCAGATCTGGAGAGTGGCAGAGCAGCTGGAGGTGGGCATGGTTGGTGTGAACGAAGGACTCATCTCGTCGGTGGAGTGTCCTTTTGGTGGGGTGAAGCAGTCTGGCCTTGGGCGAGAGGGGTCCAAGTACGGCATTGATGAATATCTAGAGATCAAGTATGTGTGCTACGGAGGTTTGTAGGGGTCTTTAGCTCTTCAAAAGAACAAAAAAGGAACTACCTAGGTACATAGGGACATGCCACCCATTTTTTTAACTAGTGGTTTCTCAGAATTATGAATTTTAAAAACTCATCCATCCCTGATCATCTCAGATGTAAATCCTAACCCTTACCTAACTAGGGACCAGTAGATGCCACATGCGCGTGGCTGTGGACCCAGGAGGGCCAGCACTGGGCCCACTGCCTCAAGACAAGGTGGTTTCAGGGACATGCTCTCTGGCCCTTTGCAAAACGCGGTCACTGCATGGGCAGTGGCTCTCCACCCCATGTGACTGCCCAACCTGGCTCAGAATGCTGGGATGATAAACCGGTGGGCTCAAGGGAGGTGCACAGCCCCTGCCTGACCAGGTGTGCCAGCCTAGTGAAGGAGAAACAGGCCGTGTGTTCAGAGGGGTCGTGGCAAAGACTTCAGTTTTCTAAAAGCCTTCCAAATAGCACAGAGTCGCCTGTACTGTATGGAGTGAGGGAATGTTTCTCTTCATTTCTGGGCTGTCTTTGGAATTGCTGGGTTTGTTTTGGTTTGGTTTGAGACAGGGGCTTTCTAAGCAGCGCAGGATGACTTCCAACTCAGTTTTCCTCCCTGGCTCCCAAGTGCTGGGTTTACAGGCATGCACTACCACACCTGATGAAATTACAGTCTTTGTTGCCCTAAACCGACTGTGTGAGCTTCCTAAAGGAAATGAACCCAAACTGGCAGCAAGTCAGCAGAGGCCGTTTGTCACAGCAACAAGAGTGACTTTCTTTCCAGTCCTGGGTGCTGAGTCCACAGCCCTGTGCATATAACTTGTTATATGCACTGAATTGTATTCTCTTTAGTTTTTGAGACAGGGTCTTGCTAAGTTACAGAGGCTGGCCTTAAACTTTGAATTCTTCTGCCTCAGCCTCCTACGTAGCTGGGATGATGGGGCTGCACTGCCAGTCTGGGCCAGTGGCGGGTGTGGGCTCTTGTAGCGGCCTCCTGTGCTGAGCAGCTCTGCTACCTCAGGTGTGCTGTCCAGAACCTCCTGTCCCACGAAGAGATTCCAGTTTGGCTTAATGAGGCTGTCGTGAGCCCCAGAGAAGGGAAGATAATTCCTAAAATGATGGAAATGCAGTTTAAGTACAGGAGCCATTTTTAAGAAGTACCACCCTGAATTGGTTGTGTTTTTTTTTTTTTTTTTTTTTTTTTTTTTTTTTTGGTCTTTTTGAGACAGGGTCTCCCTGTAGCCCCAGCTGTCCTGGAACTCACTATGTAGACCAGGTTGGCCTAGAACTCACAGAGATCCTCCTGCCTCTGCCTCCCGAGTGCTGGGATTAAAGGCATGCGCCACCACGCCTGGCCAGAAGGGATTTTTAAAGATGTGTATACATACATACGCATGTACACATAACTGTGAAATGGAAAAGGACGGGATGACAACCATGAGCCAAACCTGTTTCGTATAACTCATGAGCTAAGAATGTTTTTAATGCATTCAAACAGATAGGGGAGAAAATTAGAACTGTATTTCATGAAATTCCAATTTCACTGTCCTGAATAAAGTGTGGCTGAATACACCCACTCTGCTGAGTGGCCAGAGCTGAAGAACTGACTAAGCCCCTTTACCAGCCCTCTCCAAACAAGCCAGAGGTGCGGCCATCCAGCACCTGTGGAGGGTACCTTTCTGAGCATTTGGTACTCAGAGTTATGCAGACCCTAAACCTGTTGACCTTGGAGAAAAGACACCTATTTCCCCAGCTGACTGGGCTACTCAGAAAGCCATGACCAGCATCTGCCTTTATCCACCTGAAGGACTAAGTATGATTTCACACCAAGTGCTTGTGTCTTCCTGAGTCTCTGTTCTCATGGACTCTGAAAAGGTTGGGAGCACAGTGCAAACAAGCCACTTTTTTACATTGTAATCTGTTAGGGTCTTCAATTGAGCCATGTGGGTTTTCCTCTGAAAGCGGGATCCCAGTGTTCTAATTCCCCGTGTGCAGCTATTTTAAATAGTATTTTACTTGAATAATGCTTAATATTGTGATTGCTTCGTGCTATATTTTATTAGATAAAACTTGGGAGTTGGTGGGAGATCACGCTGCTCCTCAAACGTGTGTGGGTTGGCTCCTTTTTGTTTCGCACATCGTACTCACCAGTTTGGTCAGCAGACTTGTATGTTGCCAATAAACGTTGAATTCACAGAGCTCCTCCTGCTGTGTTGGGTTGTCTGGGTGCTGTTTTGGCTTTTCTACTTACCAGGTCACCATTTGAGGGTTTAAGTGGATGGTGGTAGACCAGTTTGGATGGAAAACTGTGCTTTGTCACCAGATCCACAGATTGAGTACCTTGTTTGGTCTGGGAGAGAGGACATCAAATATTCATCCTACTGAGTTTACCTGGTTTGGAAGTGCACATGGCACCCAATGAGGGGCTCCTCATCTCCAGTTAAGACCCTTTCACTGCACACTCCACTGTTAGCCGCTTTTTTCAATGTCATTTATTTAAGTATTTTGTACAGAAAAGTATGAGGAAAAGATTTCTGAGTCCCTGACATCTAGCTCTGACCTGGCACGTAAATGTTGACACTTGTCTGAGTGCATTTCTGTTGGTAATAACAATACCACAGCTTGGCAAGTTGTTTTGCTTCACAGCTCTGGTCCAAAGCCAGTAGGCTGCATTTGGCAGTGACCTTCCTGTGGACAGAGTCCCTGGGCAGTGCAGGCATTTCAAGCAAGACCCTTAACCAAACTTCCATATCCGACCCACTGAGACCCCCACATTAATCCATTGAGCTTACAGATGGGTGCATCCATATAAGCAGAGCCCCCCAACCCTGCCTCCTGGGCCTGCATATGGCCCCCTCTGCACTGTATTCCAGTGTCCTGGGATCCCTCTGAAGGGCCTGGACACCTATGACACCAGTAAAGTTGAGTTAGGACCTGCTGACCCCTTTGAACCGCTCTTGAAGGGCTCATTCATACACATTCTAATAAACGGGGGTTAGGAGTTCAACATCTGAAGTTTCAATATCAACATGCGCTTCCCCTCCCCACCACAAGCCACCCCACCGCCCAGTGGGAACCCCAGGCAGAGCCTTGAGTAAAGTCATGCAGAGACCAGGGCAGGGCGAGGCCCAGGCCCCACTTAGAAGGATGGAAGGCCGATTCACAGGGCTGGCTCTACACGGGGAGCTCCCCCGCCCCAGCCAGCAGCTCACCATCCACCCACGGGGCAATGCGCAGACAGGCCCCATGGGGTGGGAGGCGGGGTACGACAGGGCTGCACAGAGGGCCTCCTCCAACCCCGGGCTAGCCCTAGAGTTCAGGAAGATACATCTGATAAGGGTGACAGTAGCCTCCAAGGTAGGAGCCAAGACACATCTAGTAACCCAAGGAACTGGAGAAGCAGCTGGACACCAGTGTCCATAAAGGACTTGCCCACGCAGGGCGGGTCTCGAACCCGCTCCCTGGGGAGTCGCTTCAGCCACGGGAAAGCAGGACACGGGCGGAGGCCTCTTCCTCTAAGACAAAACCTTGTGGTCTGGGGCAAGGGAAGACGTAGGCCTGGAGGGAGGGAAGTGGGAAAGTCAACGTGACCACACGTAACTCAGCCCATAACTGAAGAATGTAAAAGTTCTTTTCAGTGTTCATAGAAAGATGTGTTCATCAGTCCCCGGAGTGAGATACCTGCGGCAGTCAGAGTACGAGGAGGATTTGCGCGTGCTCAGCCGTTCACCGCAAGCTGGGCTGCTTTAGGCCTGGCTGGAGCTGGTGGAGCACAGGAAAACCGTTCCCGCCGGTGCAGTAGGCCCGCACGCGCCGTGACGTCACCCCAGGCCCCACCCTTTTCTTAAAATGTGTATGGTGTACTGCCTGCATGTAAGTGCACCCGTGTCCTGCAGTGCCCGTGGAGGGTACAAAGAGGGCGTTGGACCCCCTGAAACTGGAGTTATGGATGGTTGTCACCATGTGGGTGCTGGGACTGGAACCCAGATCCAGTGCTCTCAACCGCTGGGCATCTCTCCAGCCTCCTAGGGCCTGCCTCTTGAAGGTCCCACCACCTCCCAGTTGTGCTGGGGCCCAGGATCAAGCCTTCCACACGTGGGTTTTTGGGGAATACCTTAGACTTATCCACATGATAATCTCCATTGAGATCACGCAGGCTTGGTTCACTTACTTCTAAAGAAGTTTTGAGTCCTTGTAAACTAATACAACTTTGTGAAACTGATGGTAAGCCACTGAATTTATTCTCAGAACCATACCTCCAAGTGTTTACCTCAACAAGCTTGCTCAGGACTGAGTTAACACTAGGAAATGACTTGGTGGGGGGAGCTCCAAAATGAGTATAATATACAGCATAGGGCTCTATGAAGCTAGAAGTCAAAGCAGTTTGCAGTGGGGGCTAATGGAAGGAGTGGTTTCGGTGTTCCACTGAAGTGATGTATCTGCTTGACTATAGAGATGGATTCACAGGTAGTTCTACATCAAAATTTAATCAAATTATACTGTGTAGTTTATTCTAAGCGCATTACACCTCAGTGTGTTAGAAATTTTACTTTTGCGAAAGGTACCCAGTGTAGTCAGTCAGATGCAGCAAGCACACCCAGGACCCAGAAGCTGGGTAGACGTTTATCCCTAACAGAAGACTATCGGCTGGGGTTGACCTCAATCTTTCCCAGTTGGCTAGATTAAAACAATCTGTGGAAGGCTGCAGAGACGGCTCAGGAGTTAAAAGCCCTGGCTGCTCTTGCAGAGGACCCGGGTTCGATTCCCAGCTCCCACACTGCAGCCAACTGTAACTCCAGTTCCAGGGGATCCAAAGCCCTCTTCTGTCCTCCGCAGGCACTGCCCAACACAGGTGCACTTACATGTAGGAAATACACACATACACATAAAATATTTTTAATCAAAATATAATAAAATGTTTTAAAAAAGCATCAACAGGAAGGAGGAGCTCCGCTCCAGGCCACCAGGCTCAGGGATGCATCAGGGCCTTTTCTTAAACAAAAGTCTTACAGGGTGTAGTGTGCTTAAAAGATTAGAATTCCTTGTCCTAAACCAAGTTCCAAGTTTTACAGAGTTTAAAAGACTAACATTCAATGTTTCTTTTAATGCATTTTAAAATGCTTATTTTTTTGTAGCACTAAGACTTGAACTTAGGTCCTCAAGAATGCTAGGTAAGTACTCTAAGCTGTATTTCCATCCCTAAATTGGCTTTACTTTTGACAAATCAGAGCACATGGTGGTGCACGCCTTTAATCCTAGTACTTGGGAGGTGGAGGCAGGCGGATCTCTGAGAATTCCAACCCAACCAGAGCTACATGGTGAGACCGTCTCAAAAAAAAAAGGCTCGATCAGGGCATCCATCATCTGTCATTGTGTCCTTCCTGTGTCATCCCCAACCCCACCCCAAATGGCAGCAGAGGAGCAAGAGAGGCTTCAATTCCATGGCATCAGAAGACTCAGACTCGGTCTATGACAAGTAAAATGCTTTATTTACAGTACACTTCTCTTGTGGATATTTTCTTTAAAGAACATTTAAGTCTTACAAAAAAGTATTCTGGATTCACTTCCTGCAAAATTTTTTCTTCTTACCAGCAACAAAACTCAAAGTTTCTTTCTCCATGACTTTTCCTCTCAAAAAAAAAAAAAAAGAAAACAAAACAAAATTTCCATGCACATCGTTAATCCCAGCACTCAGGAGGGAGGGGCAGAAGGGTTTGAGTGACTGGCCAGACAGACTGGTCTCCATGAGACCCTGTCTCCATGTTGCTGTAGAGCTGGGTTTCACCTGCAAGCCTGTGTCACACAACAACAAAACTGACACTGACCAGCAGTTACCAGACTGAAATGGAGACTCTGTCATCACACATGACAGTTCACAAAGACCCCATCTGACAGACAGTTGCTATCTACTTACTGCGGACACCATGGCCTGAATTAAGGAAACAGAAGCAATGCAGCCAAGAGCCGGGCGGTTTGCTCTTTAATGACCTCTACTGACACAGCTCCTCAATCATCCATCACATCTGGCTCTCCACACCCTTCAGATCTGCAAACACCCAGAACCACCAGCGTTCAGGAAAGTGGCTCACGGCACCACATGAAAGCTGCACAGGAGGCCCCAGTGGTCACTAGGGAATCGCCCACAGTCTAGCTTTTCCATCCCGACAAGGTCTAAACTTTGGGGAAGAAGGTGGCCCTCTTCTGCTCTGAAAAAGATCCTATCAAAACGATGGCTACAAGCAGCAGGGATTCTGAGGTTAGTGTTGGTGCGTGTGTCCCACGTGTACCGACAATGCTTCGGCCTGCCCAAGAACTCCCAGGCGTCAAAAACATTGCTGGGCAGGCCACCACACCTAGTCACCTGAAAGAAAAAAAGCACTGTGTAGGGCTGCATAAAGGTGCATCCTCACATCACCTACAAGTACATCTTAAACAAGAATGCAACAGTGATTCATGACGGCACAAACGTAACCAGTAGACACACTATAAAAAGTACACTGCATGCAGCACAATTTTTGTTCAGCTAATACACCACTATAATCTGTTAATCATTAGTATGACCAAATTTCTTCTGTAGTTATTGAAACCTCTAAACTGCAGGGCTGAGTGGCTCAGCAGGTGAAGATGTTGTCCCCAAACCTAAACACTCGAGTTCCATTTCAGGGACCCACATGGTGGAAGGAGAACCCAATCTCATGAGCTGTCTTCTGACCAACACACGCACACATTAAAAATATAATTTAAAAGATCACAGAATTCTAAATATGCAGAAAAATTTTAAAGGTAGAGGTGCTGTTCCTTACTAGAGCAGCTCCCTAGCACGTAGGAGACCCAGGGTTCAATAAAACAAAGTTGAACTCAGGAGAGGATTGCGGCTTCTTGCCCCTAGGGATGCTACGAACACCCTCAGATATTTCTAAACTGTTAGTCATTATTTTCTTCCTAATTCCTGTTTATTCAACATAAACGTTTTATATTACGTTTCATGTGTAGTTTCCACTAACCTTTTTGCTTTTTAAAAAATATTTTAAAAATTTATTTTTATATGTATGGGTATTTTGCCTGCATGTTGTAAGTGCACCCATGTCATGCAATGCCCGAGGAGGACAGAAGAGGCTGTCGGCTCCCCCGAGACTGGAGTTATGGACAGTTTTGTTAGCTGCAATGTGGGTGCTGGGATTCGAACCCAGGTCTTCTGCAAGAACAGTCAGTGTTCTTAACTGCTGAGCCATCTCTCCAGCTCCCGCCATTTTTGCTTTTTAAAAAATATTTTAGAAATTTATTTTTATTTTATGTGTATGGGTATTTTGCCTGCATGTATATTAAGTCCATCTATGTCATGCAACGCTTATGCGCATGCTGGAAGCCAGAAGCCCTAGGGTATAGGATCCCCTGGAACATGGGTTCTTAGACACCATGTGGGTGCTGGGAACTGCACTCAGGTTCTCTGCATAAGTACCCAGTGCTCTTTTCTCCAGCCCCTATTATTGATTCTGTGTATGCATGTGTGCTTGCGTGCAGTAGAATGCTGGAGTCCATGGAGACCGGCAGGATTCCCAGGAGCTAGAGTTACAGGCAGTTGTGAACCACTCAATATTGAGTGCTGGGCCGAAACTCCAATTTCCTGGAAAAGCAGTGTGTCCTCTTAAGTGCTGAGCCTTCCCTCGGCCCCTTGTGCTTGTATTTTATAGCAAAAGTTAAAACAGTATTTGCTGACTTGCATTTCCAAATGCACTTATGCATTCTGCGTGGCCAAAGACCCAAGTCTGAAGAGCTTTGGTAACCAGGAACCCAAGTCAGACTCCACAGCAGCAATCCCACACACTGAACCAGGCCGCTACTCACCTCTTGATCCCTTAAGTTTGTGTCTCCTGCAAATATGACAGTCGTTGACTCGGGGGCCTCTTGCATTTTCTGAAAAACTATTCTCAACTGATCCATTCGTTCCGCGGCGTGTTCTCTGGTGCTCTCCAAATGGGATGTCATAAGGTAGAATTCACGTCCAGTCAAGCTTACCTGCGACAGGATAACAACAGTTACCCTGGCCACTGCCCACTGGACTCTAGTCCAGCAGACAAGCGGATTAACCTGCATGCAGTTTCTCAACTGAAACATGCGGTCAACATTCATCCTCTGGATGAAAAGCACAAGGTGCCAAACCCACCACACACTGTCCAGCAAGCAAGATCTCCACAGACCACCTCCACCGTGACCCCCTCCCCAGCAGCTGCGGGCCAACAATGGCTCACCTCTCTAGAATCCTACTGCATGCCAAAGGGACTGTATAAAAGCCCTCACAAACTTAAGTAGGAGACAAATTTCTGGGCAGGTCTATGAGGTAGAGCCTGGTTTAGGTCAACGGAGGTGGTGCCCACACTAACGGAGACGCCATGCCTTGGCTGGGGTCCCACACTGAGTAAGAAAGCAAGCAGGCCAAGCACCCGCATTCATCCCTGCGCTTTCTGAGTACACGATGTGACCTGCTGCTCTGCCTGACCCCCACCACAGACTGGACTCTCCAAACTAAAAGCTAAAATAAACCATTCCTCTAAAAGTTACCTTTGTCAGGTACCAATGAGAGAAGAACACAGCATCTTCCACACCAAAGTGAACAGAAAGCTAGTTCACACCCACACATTTACACTGGCTTCAACTTGTAGAAGTTGCTTGCAGCCAGTGCTCCACCTAGACTCTGAATGTCTACATTTTAAGGTATTTTTCAGGTATTTGTTTTCAATTCAAATACTTCTGTCAATTCAGCTAGATTAATACACACCTAGGACATTAAGGAGACACACCTTTTGGTACCTAAGGCTGTCTCCATTCCCTCAGGGTGTAGACCTACACTAGATAAAAATAAGAGCACTTGTGGTCTTCCAGAGGTCCCCGCAACCATGTGGGGTGGCTCACAACTTCCTGCCTGTTAACTCCAATACCCCTGGCTTCCATGGGCACCTGTACTTATCTGTGTGCAAACACACAGAGTCGGTCTGTCTGTCTGTCTCTCTCAAAAAAAGGGGAAAACAGCGAGCTGCAGGGCCAGCATTCGTCCTCTTCCTACCTCCGAAGCCAACGTGACGAGCCCTCCCCCCTCCTTCCCGACCATGAAGTGCACCCCACAACCCATGAACCGAGGTGCTGAGTGCAGTACGTCAGTGATTTTCCTCACTGCAATGACAACGCCCGGCAGACCCCGGCCTCAGCCAAATATTCCAAAGTCCTTATCAAACACCTAAGAAGATTAAGAACCTTGACAAGTTTGTTTTGTATTTAAAATTATGCAGAATACTATTTACTAAGGCTCAATTAGTAAAAGCACTTGCTGAGGTCAACCCCCAGAACCCAGAGCAGGAGAGAACTGGCTCCAGAAAGTTGTCCTCTGACCTCCAGACACATGTCATAGTGCAGATATGCCCATACTTACACACAAAAAATCAAGAACTGGGCCAGTGAGATAGCTGATCAGGTAAGAGCACTTGAACACAAGCCTGACAACCCAAATTTGATCCCTCGGCCCTGAAGTGCAAGGAGAGAAACTGACTCTGGAAACTTGCCCTGACTTCTGCACGTGCACTACAGCACACCCACACTCACACATACACATCAACCACACAAAATAAATATGTATGTAAGGAACAAATATTTCTCTAAAACCAATTCTCTTAAAAACCTCAAACTTTGCCGGGCAGTGGTGGCGCACGCCTTTAATCCCAGCACTTGGGAGGCAGAGGCAGGTGGATCCTCTGTGAGTTCGAGGCCAGCCTGGTCTACATAGTGAGTTCCAAGACAGTTGGGGTTACAGGGAGACCATGTCTCAAAAAAAAAAAAAACCCCTCAAACTTAAATTTACTTACATGCACACATAAAAGGTTTCTCATCATTTTGGTATTTGGAAAAGGAACAATCTCTTGACTTATAAATTTCACTCTCTGTTTCTTCAACAGTATAGCTGTGAAATAGCCTTCTTCGTTACCTTGAAGTGTTTGTGAAAAAGAATTTGAATGAGAAGTTCCTGAGCATTTCCAGTTTACCACAAGTTCCCCCTATAACAAGGGGGCAACATTACTTAAATGGATCCAAATCTTTAAGTTTGTATTTCAAAACAGTTCAAGACAGTCAACCAAGTCTGTGTTTATCTGTCCCTTCTGGAAGTTTAACAAGAGGTACAAATGATATACAAATAGGAGTGGGCATGGTGGCACATGCCTTTTATCATGTGGGAGGGAGGCAGGCAGATCTCTAAGTTCCAGGCCAGCTGGGGCTACAGTGAGACCCTGTCTCAAAAAGACCAAAAAACAAAGTCACAAGTCATGTGACACTGAAAGACCAGAGTGTGACAATCTGAGATGTGGCCCAAGAGCTATTTTAAATGTACTTAGCAAAACCAAAGCAAGCGGGAAATTACAAACTAAAACAATGGGAAAAGAAGAAAAATAAGACTTTTTGAAAAAAATATAACCACAATGTGATTATCACACAAGACTTTTTAATTATTTTTATTTTATGTAAGTATTCTGCCTGCATGCCTTTAAGGGACAACGTACATACAATCCTGCAGAGGCCAGAAGAGGGCGTCAGATTTCCTGGAACTGGACTTGCTGTTGTGAGCGACCACGTGGGTGAAAGCTCAGTCCGCGTGCTTTTTAACTTATTTATACTTTTTAAATATTTTATTACTTTTGTTTTATGTACATAAGTGTACTGCCTGCATGTATGTCAAGTACACCCATGTCCTACAGGCAGCGAGTTCAGAACAGGGCAACAGATTCCCTGGCACTGGAGTTACATAAAATTGTTAGTGGCCACGTGGGTGCTGGGAACCAACCCAGGGTCCTGTGCAAGAGCAGTCAGTGATCATAAGCACTGAGCCAATTCTCCAGCTACAGTGCGCTTCTTTAAAATATGTTTATTTTTACTTCTTGTATATGAGTGTATTGCCTGCATATATGTAAGTGCACCCGTGTCGTAAATGTCCAAGGAGTTCAGAAGAGAACGTCTGATCCACTGAACTGGACTTACGGACAGTTGTTGGGGCCATGTGGGTGCTGGGAATCAAACCTGGGTCCTCTGGGAAAGTAACAATTGTTCTTTACAGGACCCATTTCTCCAGTCCTACACTTAAAATTTTGTGCAGTTGAGCACACCTGTGTGTGTGTTTGTGTGTGTGTGTAGCAAGGCACCAGAGCATGGACTTAACATGCACAAAGCCCTTGCTTTGACACACATGCCCACCTCCACAAACAGAAACAAATGGGACTTTTAGTAATTGAATTTTAGAATTTTGTTTTCCTGAAAAACCACCTCAACTTTTCTCACTTACTAGGTTGTAGAAAACCCTTTTGTAGTTCCTTAGGGACCTGCACCTCTCATTTCTCTAACTTGTGCTTTTTCTTTTCTGCTGGGAACAGGCTAACTGACGCTTCTTTCACCCATCTATTTTTAAGAGAAAACGCCAAGTTAAACAGCAGAAGCACTACCTGTAATGATCCTGTAACTGCTTGCTCTCTTCTTCAGGTAGGCACAGTATGAGGGAGTAACTTCCTGTAGAAATATCAAATCTGGACCATACCTAATTAAAAAGATCGATTAAGAAAATCATCAGCACAGCATTTATTTTCAGCTACCTACATGAAACTATGGTACTTAGGAGCATGGCTCCCCTCTAGGGCACCTAGTAGTCAATGCCTGTGTTGACCTTTACCAATTACAAGAATCTGTGTTATTTAGTGCACAGCACCATGGTGTTCAATTTAACAGAGGGCTGAAGTGCAGCTGAGCGGCACAACAGAGGGACAAAAACTCTCCCACACTGGGAGTCTGCAAAGGTCCCACACATCAACAGCTGCGGCATCCAATGCTCAGTTCAGATTCTCTTAAAACAGCTGTCTAGGAGGATGGAGGGATGGCTCAGCTAGAGGGATGGCTCAGCAGCTGAGAGCACTGGCTGCTCTTGCAAAGGACCCAGGTTCAGTTCCCAGCACCCACATTGTGGCTAACAACTCTTTAACTCCAGTTCCAGAGGAATCTGACGCCTTCTTCTGACCTCTGCAGCCGTTGCATGACACAGGTGCACTTACATACATGCAGGCAATATACTCACACATAAAATAATAAAATATTGTTTAAAAAAAAAACATAGCTGTCTAGTGAGACCCAAGCTCTCGGGAACATCAGTGCTTCGTCCGAGGTCACAAAGCTCTGAGTAGAAACAGATCTGGGTGGCTTTCATCCCACAGCAATCAACTGTAGACACCATGTACTCCGTGAAGCTTATGATCCTAGAAGCAGGCAACACAAATCGGTGCTCTGCTACACGGAGACCCTCCTCAGAGGTCACTGCAGCTTTCAGAATTTTTTTTAAAGTAAGGTGTCACTGTGTAGCCCTGGCTGACCTGGAACTCACTATGTAGACCAGGCTGGCCTCTAACCCATAGAGATCCACCTGCCTCTGCCTCCTGAGTGCTGGGATTAAAAGGTGTGAGCTACCATGCCCGGCTTTTCAGATAGTCACTCAGAGCTGTGAACCAAAATCTAACTCTTAACATCCACAACTAAACTGCCACCTTGAAGAGGATCAAGATGCTACTTCACTGACTAGCACAGAGGTGACCACACTTACCAAGCTAAGGAGGAACACACCCCTCGAGCTCTCTGTGGTAGATTGTTTCCATCCAATCCATCAATATTCCAGGTAATGAAGGAGACAATGGTGCTCTCGGCTAGATTAATTCCTACCGGGCAGGTTTCCAGAACGGTGGTATCAGCTTCATCCTCCTCGTTGGTCAGGTCAACACTGGCAAGGTCAAAGTAAGTTTCTTAAAAAATCTGTAAATTAGGGGGCTGGAGAGATGGCTCAGCAGTTAAAAGAGAACTGACTGCTCTTACAGAGGACCGGGGTGCAATTCCTAGCACCTACATGGTGGCTAACAACCACCAGAACTCCAGTTCCAGGGGATCTCACGTGACCTCCGTGGGCACTACACAACACAGGTATACTCATGCATGCAGGCAATATACATGTAAAAAAATTTTTTTTTAAATTTTATGTGTATGCGTGTATTGCCTGCATGTAGGTTAAGTGCACCCATGTCACGCAATGCCTGCAGTGGTCAGAAGAGACTGTTGGATCCCCTGGAACTGGAGTTACGGACAGTTGTTAGCTGCCATGTGGGTGCTGAGATTTGAACCTGGGTCTGCAAGAAGTCAGTGTTCTCAACTGCTGAGCCATCTCTCCAGCCCCAAAAATAATTTTTTAAAAATCTACAAATCAGTATTTTGTTCGATGTGTGAGCTAGGAAGATGGCTCACCTTGAGTCCTGGCACCCACACTGAACGCCAGCAGTGGTGGCCTGCTCATAATTCAACACTGGGACGAAGAGACAGGAAGCTCCCCAGGCTACCTTTGCCCTCTCTAACTGGTAAAGCCCCAGGTCCCAGTGAGAGACACTGGCTCAAAATACAAGGTGAACTTGTAAGGACACCTAAGTTTGACCTCTTGCATGCACTCAGGCCCATACCTATCCGACCCTCCTCTCGCACATGGACACCCATGTGCACACACACACACTGTGTTGTATTTGCAGTCCTCAATTTGAAAACGGTCTTGAGTATCCATAGTCAGAAAATCCAAATTCTAACTGACTCAAAAGCTGCTTGGTCCCAAGCATTTCAAGTAAAGGACACAAGTTACACATTTTAATAAGAGTCTAAAGGCCTCTTAATATCTAGCATCTGTCCACAGAAAAGCAACACTTGGGCTGCTGAGGTGGCTCAGTGGATAAAGCCACCTGCTGCCAAGCCCCAACGACCTGAGTTTGGTCTTCAGAGCCTGTAGCGTGGAAGGAGAACTGGACTCTGACCTCCACACTAGCGCGTCGGCATGCGTGTGCTGCTATAGAGGGGAATACTTGCCTCCTAGAGTGAGTTAGTTTAGGAGTCTGACTTTGGCCGAGTCCCTCTTTCTGGAATATAACCCTTCTACACGCACTCACCACCCACTCCCCCGGAGGCATGACTAAATGCTTTCTTCGTGGCTAGCCTCAGGCATTTTGACAACTTTCAATTCTAAAACAATTCCCTACTTTCAAAACTGAAAAAGTTGGGGCTGAAGAGATGGCTCGGCAGTTAAGAGCACTCACTGCTGCCTGCAGAGGACCTGGGTTCAATTCCCAGCACCAACATGGCCCCTAACAACTGTCCATAACTCCAGTTCCAGGGGATCTGACACCCTCTTCTGACCTCCACAGGCATTACATGACACAAGTGCACCTACCTACATGCAGGTAATACTCTCACATACATGAAATATTAAAGGTATGCACTACCATGCCCAGACTTATTAAAAATCTTTTGAGGGGAGGGAAGGCATCTTCCTGGAGCCCCAGAAGGCATGGAACTTAGGATGTAGACCTGGTTGGCCTTGATCTCATGGAGATCCATCTGCCTCTCTCCATTGAGTGCTGGAATAAAAGACATGCACACCACCACACACAGCCTTTTATGACAGGTCTCCCCAGTCCCAACCCTCCTGGAAGTCCTAAGTGGACCAGGTTGGCCTGGATCTCGCAGAGATCCATCTGCCTCTACCTTCTGAGGGCTGAGATTGAAGGCACATGCCATGACCCCAGATGTACTCAAGTCTTTCTGAGAGGGTCTCGGGTAGTTGCAGCTGACCTGAAACTCACTATGCAGACCAGGCTGGCCTCCATCTCTCAGAGATCCACCTGCCTCTGCCTCCCCAGTGCTAGGATTAAAGGTTTGCACCACCATGCCTGGCTGGTATTTTTTAAATATATGTGTATATAGGTTTATAAATGCAGAGCCCATGAATGCAGTGTCAGTTCTTAAATCTCTCATGACTGACATCTTTGAAGGGTACAGGCCATTTGTTTTGTGGACTGCCCTTCAATCGGTCTGATGTTCTCCAACTGGACTACAGGTATATACTTTCTGGCAGGATTGACAGCACAATCACGTCTCAATATACAGGGGTAAGGCATTAGCCAATATCACTAAGAGCAAAGCTCTTATTTTTCCCTTTTGTGGTTTTAACTATGGAAGCACCTTATGACTGAACTTTCATCTCAGTTTACTTTTATGTGTGTGAGTACTGCCTACATGTAGTGCACCTCTGACATACAATTCGTGCAGAGGTCCCAAGAAAGCCTCAGATTATGCACACGTTCGCTACCTGTAGGTGCTCAGAATTGAACCGGGTCCTCTGCAGGAGCAGCCAGTGCTCTTGGCCGCTGAGCTATCTCTCCAGGCCCCATCCCAGTTTTCTGCCGCCTGTACCTCCCTGAACAGGAACTTGGTGGTTCCCAAATAATTTTTCCATTTCCTCATGCTTTGCATTTAGTAGTTTAAATTCTGTGATAAAATCCATCACTTGTCCACTGAAAAGCTGCGATCACATCAGTACGGACTCCTATTTTACTGTGCAGATTCAACCTGTTTCTAAGCAGTTCTAGAGCTCCCGGGGCTTATTTTTACCCTGGGTCCTATGCTTTTTTGGCCATTTCCAACACTTCCCGGCACCACAGTTAAGTGCACCTTGCTTGCTCCTGTGTGGAATCCGTCATTTTGGTCCTTTTAGCGACAAGAACTAGAACCCAAGGTCTTGGTGCAGAGTGCAATGTCAGGCCTGAAGTAAAACACACACGTGTGCCAATGACCTCTCTTTTTTGAGGCCTTGTCGCACTCTGCAGCTCCTGCTGACCTCAAACTTATGGGTAGCCTACTGTACTTTGTGAGTGCATGCCCAGGCTAGCCTAGGACTCGTGCCCTTAAATTTTTGGCGGTCCTCCTGTCTTGGCCTCCCAATTGGCATAAGCTGCCACACCCATCGTCTGTGTGCATAGATGGATATCAAACAATGAGGCCGGGCGTCATCAAAAGCACACAGCTTTTGATCCCAGCACTCAGGAGGCAGAGGCAGGCAGATCTCTGTGAGCTCCAGGCCAGCTGGGGCTACAAGGAGTCCCTGTCTCAAAAAAAAAAAAAAATCAAAATCGACTTTTAAGTGCCAAATTGTAAGGTCCCTCCTTTTTACTATGGAAGTGTTAGGATACTGGAGAGGTGGCTCAGTGGTTTAAGGGCACTTGCAAAGGACCAAAGTTCAGTTCCCAGCACCCACATGGCTGTTCACAACTGTAACTCCAGTTCAGGGAATCCAACACCCTCTTCTGGTCTCTGTGGGCACTGCATGTACATTGTACACATACATACATTGGGTACACAAACACACCTAACAAAAAAATCTTTTTAAAAGCAGAATTCAGCTCATTTTTGTCATTTGTTTCACAAGCTGTATTTTCAATCTGTAGAGTTATGCTGTCCATTCTGCCTGTGTCTTACTGCAATCCAAATTTGCAATTTATGCAACATCCACATTTAGAGGCATCCTAAAGAACTGAAAGGGCCTACAGAGAGCGCTGTGGTCTCTCACCTGATACCTTAGGCTCTGACATTCAGCACTCCTTGAGATCTGTGACCCTGAAAAAAATGCAGACTCTGGTTCAGTAGGCCTGGGATGGGACCCGAGATTCTGGTGTCCACCAAATTCCACCAAATTCCAAGTCATTCAATGGTGTTGGCACAGGTCCACTTGCTAAGTAACAAGGCTATGGGAACATATGAAATAATACCTGAGATCTTTTTAAAAAGGTCACAGTCTGGAGTGATGGCTGAGTTGCAGACAGCAACACAATCCTAACAACCCCAAGTCTGATCCCCAGAACCCACAGCAGGATACAGCAGCTCCTATCTGTAACCCCAGGACACCGACCACAGGAGGGAGGAGGAAGGGCAGTGACCACTCACGGGCCGGCAAGTGAGGAAAGTGTAGCACCTGCCTGTGCTAGTCCAGGAGGCACTGGCACCCAGGCACGCACACTCATTTTGTTTTCAAAGAAAGCCAAAGGTCACTGAAGTAACTGGGCCCCATTCCTACATTATCTCTGGGCAGTGGTGCAGGTTAATTCAGCATAAGGGCTTTAAGTGATCCCTTGTCTAAGATTCCCAAGTACAGCCCTGAGCTTTGTTCAGCAGCACAAGGACTGGAGGCAAAGTATGGGTAACGGGAGCAGCGTACCCTAAAAAAGCACTGAGGATGGGGCTGGAGAGATGGCTCAGCAGTTACGAGCGCTGACGGCTCTTGCAGAGGACCCGGGTTTGAGTCCCAGCACCCACATGGTGGCTACGAACCATCCTTAACTCCAGTTCCAGGGGAATCCAATGCCCTCTTCTGACCTCTAAGGCACTGCATGACACAGGTGCACTCACAATGCATGCAGGCAATACACTCATACACATAAAAGTAATAATAAAAAAAAAGGACTTGAGGAGCTAGAAATGGCTCACTGGCTGCTCATTGCAGAAGACCTGGGCTTGGTTCCCAGCATCCACAGGGCAGCTGACCACCAACCATAACTTGGTTCCATAACTTTTGTCCTCTTCTGGCCTCCACAGGCATTGCACACATGTGGTGTACTTACATACATGCAGGCAATACATGCAGGCAAAACATACATATAAAACACACATACAAATAAAAGTTTTGAGCCTGGTCAATTCCAGCCTAGGCTACACAGTAGGTTCCAGACCAGATCCCTGCTACAGGAACAGCCTGTCTCAAAAAAAACCCCAAAAGTGGTGTGGGACTTGGCCACAAGGCAAATAAATACAAAAACGAGACGGAAATAAAGATTTTCTGATTCATTTCAAGTATCTAGTTACCTATCACCCACAACTCAAGCCAAAAAGTACCTTAGTCAAGAATGAGTCTCAACCTGTAAACCAGCCTGGGGAGGTGGAGGCCTGAGCACACAGGGAAGTGGAAGTCAGCCCAGCAGGGCACACCAGACCCTGCCTCCATACATATTTTGAGCCATAGGGATTCTGGAGCAGGGAGTGGAGAGCTGGAAGCCATGTACGCTGCAAAACTCTGTCTCAAAATTTTAGAATAAATAAACCACATTCTGCTTGGTTTCGTCTCCAGACTCCAAATTACACTGGAAGCCAGGTTCAGTGGCGCACGCCTTTAATCCCAGTACTCAGGAGGCAGAGGCAGGCAGTTCTCTGGAGTTCAGGCTAGCTGGAGCACACAGGGACACCAAGCCTCCAAACAAATGAGGTAACTGGAAGGCCACGCATGTGACCTCAGGGGAGGGAGACGGGGTTGGAAGCCTTGCTAGTGAGCTCCAAGTCAGACTACAAAGGAACAAGGTGAGCATCCTGGGGGGCTGTCCGCCATTTCCAACTCAGGTCTCCCAGCGAGACAGCAAGCTGCGCCCCTCCCCTACTGGACAAAGACCGCCCCGCCAACTCCCTATTAGACACCTGACCCCTTCCCCTCTCACCCCCCCTCCCTCTACTAGACACCCCACCCCCTCCTCCTCACTACACACCTCACCTCCCTTCCCCACTAGACCCCCCCCAGGTCCCTCACTCACTAGGCCTCGGACTTGAAGAAGGCGGGGGGCTGCTTCGGCCAGGCGGGGTCGTTCTCAGGCGGCTCGAAGAAGGCGCTGAGTGCTTTCTGAAAAGCAAAGGCACCAGGATGGACTAGGGGGAGGTAACAGGGATTGGAGGGACATGGGGATGGGGGGCACAAAAGCCAGCACAGGAAGTGCGGGAGAGACCGGGGACGATGCCACCACGGGGCGCCGGGAGGGGGAGGGGCAGCGGGTTCGGAGGTGGGGGGACGGGGAGCCCACCGGGTGCGGAGGGAGAGGGACGGGCCCCCACGGGGATAGCGGGTGGGGGGGAGAGACGGGGCCTCAGAGGGCACAGACCGCCCCACCTGCATCTCCCAGCCGTTCTCGCGCAGGAAGGTGTGCGCCATGGTGGTGTCGCACTTGGCCACCAGCGCGAACTCCATGCACTTGAACCGCCGCCTATTCACGCGGTGCTCCAAGTCCTCCTCGTCCGGCGGGCCACGCCCCTCCGGCTTCTCTTCCGCCGCCGCCTCGGGCCGGCTCCCGGACTCCATGCCGACGCCCGCCCGGTCGACACCCCCTCCTCACTCGGTACGGGCCGCGCTTCCTGCCGGACTGGCAGCAGATGCGGTTCTGCGCAGGCGCACCACAATCGGTACGGCCTTCCGGCGAGGAGGTCCCGCCCACTCCCCATGGATCCAGAGCGAGGCTCTCGGGGGCGTGGCTCCGGGGGGCGGGGCGTGGTTCCCCGGGCGAGGGGCGGTGCCAGCAGCGCATGCGCAGCGCTGACAGGTGACCGGCCCCAGCTGCCCGCAGGCGGACCGAGTCAGACTGCTCAGGTTCACGCGGGGTGACAGGACAGGTCTGACGCTCGGCGCCCGAGTTCTTTCCGAACCCTTCCTCCACCATTCTCCCTGCAGAATCAGGAGCTCGCGCGGCGGCCACGATGAGCGGCTTGACCCAGAATATGCGGGAATTATTGAAGGCTCTGCATAGCGTGCACGGCTTTGATAGAGTTCTGGAAAAGGTACTGACTAAGCACCCGAGCTGCAGTCTGCGGGGATTGCCCTGTCCGTGCCCCCGGCGCCCTCCAGGGTGCAGGAGGACCTCGAGTAGTCTGTACAACTCGCCCCTGGGCACCTTGGCCAGCGGACCCTTCTAGAAGCAGCAATCGTCCAAGTGGGTGCTAGGTGCAGTGGGTGCTAGGTACAGAGGGACCAGCGCCTCTATTGTGGGTGTTTCTGGGTTTGGGCACAGGGCCTCACTCAATAGCCCAGGCTGGCCTCGAACTCGGGGCAGTTCTCCTGCCTCAGGACCTGGCACCCTTGTGGTTTGAGAAATGTCACACAGGCAGTCACTTGCAGAAGAGTGTGCTGGAAGGCACAGGTGCATTCCCCAGCCAGCCTTGTACGGTCCGGACCTGTTGGAAGAGGTTCTTTCTGGGGAACAGTGAGCCCTGCCCCGCCTTATACATGGGCTAACCTGGACTAGGCGGTTCCGGAGTCCATAGATGGCAACTAGAATAAGCATCGGTAAAGCTGCCTAACCTGAGAACTTGCAGGACTGTTTCCAAATGTTTTAACGTATCATGTCTGTTTTTCAGATTAAGGTAGAATGCTGGGAAATCTGGAAATACTTTGGGAATGAAGTTTAAATGCTGATCAACTTCGGATATTTGTAGTCAGTGTTCTCCTGGGTCACTTATCCCAGACCGTGTTTTAGCTCTGTAACCAACTCAGGGCTTGGTGGTGGCTGGCACCTTTGACCCCAGTGCTCAGGAGGCAGAGACCTGTGTGAGATGGAGATCAGCAGGGACTACATAGCAAATTCCAGGCTAGCTGGGGCTACAGGGAGAGTCTGTCTCAAATAAATAAATAATAAATAATGTTTTCAAATAGGAAATGCCATAAAAGCCAGTGTTATTTGACAATAACGTTTGGAAAGCTATATTATCAAGAAAGATGTATTGGTCTAAGAATTAAAAAATCTCTGGTAGGCACTGGAATGTAAGCTGGGAGAGGTTTTTGCAGGTGGGAGGTCTCACATGGGTGGGGGTCTGTAATCATTTTTTTCCTGAGCATTCATCTACCTTGTGTGTATTATAGTAATACTTTATGATAATTTTGACATTTGTGTGACTGCCTTTGAGTACCTAGTTAAAATTTTCATACCTAGACTAGGCCTAATGGCACACACCTTTAGTCCTAGCACTCCAAAGGCAGAGGTAAGTGAGTCTCTGTGAGTTTGAGGACAGCCTGGTCTATGTAGTACAACCCTGTCTCAAAAAAAATTGTCATGCCTTAGCCCAGCATGATGGCTACTACCTGTAATTCTAGCACAGGGGGAGGCCAAGGCTGGGGTCCAGAGACCAGTGCTTAGCCAGATCCCTGCCCTGCTCCAAAAATTCCACTTAGACCTTTAAAAAGCTGATTCTTTTTTTCTTACTTACTCTTTGGAATTCAGCATAGATTCCGCATTTACAGCATTTCTCAGTGGTGGCCACATTGCACATGCTCGGTATTTATAGGCAGCAGCTAGCGGCTGTTACCAGGTTGACACTGTAATAGGAGGAATTCTGTGCTTGGTAACTTGGTCTGCAACAAATTTGTGGTTATGTTTTGTGTGGGCATATATTTATGCATAGTGCTTTATTGACGGAAAAGCACAACTCTCATCTCAAAGGGGATAAAAGATTATTCTAGGGGGACTGAAGAGTTGGCTCAGCAGTTAAGAGCACTGGCTGCTCTTGCAGAGGTCGTGGGTTTGATTCCCAGCACCCACATGGCAGCTAACAATTGTCTGTAACTCCGGTTCCAGGGGATCTGATGCCATCTTCTGATCTCTGTGGGCATTGCATAACATGGGCGCACTTACATGCAGGCAATACCCTCATACACAAAATAAAAATAATAAATAAAATATATTTTTTTAAAAGATAGTTTATAGCTGGGCATGGTGGCGCACACCTTTAATCTCAGCACTTGGGAAGCAGAGGCAGGCAGATCTTTGTGAGTTCAAGGCCAGCCTGGTCTACATAGCGAGTTCCAGGACAGCTGGGGCTACAGGGAGACCCTGTCTCAAAAAGACAAAAAAAAAAAAAAAATAGTTTATAGCTGAGTGTGGTGGTGTACACCTTTAATCCCAGCACTCAGGAAGCAGAGGCAGTCAGATCTATGAGAGTTCAAGGCCAGCCTGGTCTACATAGCTAGTTCCAGGCCAGCTGCAGCTACAGGGAGACTCTATCTCAGACCGGAAAACAAAACAAAAAACAAAACAAAACAGTTTATTCTGGGGCCAAATCTGAGTGGCCATAGCCTGAGAACACAGATTCAGGTTTCCTCAAATTCCATGTTCCAGTGTGGTAACAGTTTGATAAAGTTTTTATAGTAACAGAACAAAGAAAAGTCATAAATCAAGACAGTTTTCAAATCCATTGGTGGGAGTGTTAGGAAGGCAGACACAGCAGAAGAGACATCACAGCTCTAGGCCTCAGGTGCTGTCTGATGACACTCAGCCTTGTGAAACAGAGGTGGGCAAGGAGTGCCCAGTTCGGGGACCAAAGATGGCCCAAGATAAACTGTAATTAGCCTATGACCGGGCACATTCCACAATCACTGAAGTTCTAATCAGTTGATCAGCCTTTGCCTAAGATGCAGTCTTTCTGGAACTTTCGCTCACAGTTCCCCCTCTTGACCAAACATCATATTTTGTGTATGTTGTACCACATATTTATTCACATGTTGCTAGGAAAAAATAAATGAAAATCATATTATAGAAAAATTATAGAACAATATAATATTCTTTAAATTTTCTTTAACAGTGTCTTATTTACATGCCAAATATTAATAACATTGATAGAAACAAGAGATTAAACCTGTTAGAAATTGGATTTTTTTTTTTGAAGCGGGGTCTCCCTGTAGCCCCAGCTGTCCTGGAACTATGTAGACCAGCCTGGCCTTGAACTCACAGAGATCCGCCTGCCTCTGCCTCCCAAGTGTTGGGACTACAGGCGTGCGCCACCACACCCGGCTTAGAAATTGGAATTTTATAGGCCTTGTAGACAACAACTATACCTTTTTATTTTATTATTTTATTTTGGTCTCTTAGAGACAGGGTTTCCCTGTAGCCCCAACTGAACTGACCTGGCACTCACTATGTAGACCAGGCTGACCTTGAAGTCACAGAGATCCGCCTGCCTCTGCTTCCCAAGTGCTGGGACTAAAGGTGTGCACCACCACGCCAGCTTTTTATTTCAGTGATTAGAAATGGAGATGGGACTCTAGAAGGAGTCATTGTAGGTTGTGCATTGCCTTTCGTTAGTAAAATATAGATATTGTGAGACCAACTGGTCATTACCCAAGATTTATCTGCAGGAAAAAAAAATATATAGATATTGCTTAATTCGTTTTTTAATGCCAGCTAATTGTGGTATATAGGACACTTTTAGGTACTTGTTTAATCAAGGAACGTCAGTACTTAAAGTATGAAATATTGGGACTGGAGAGATGGCTCAACAGTTAAGAACACTGACTGTTCTTGCAGAAGACCCAGGTTCGAATCCCAGCACTCCCATGGCAGCTAACAGCTATCTGTAACTCCAGTTTCCGGGGATCTGACGGCCTCTTCTGTCCTCTGCAGGCATTGCAGGACACAGGTGTACTTACCTACATGCAGGTGATACATCGTACACATAAAAAATATGTGAATATTGTTATTATTACAGGTGATTTCTTTTGTATAATTTTTTTTAACTTTTACAAAAACTTTGAGAATTTCATACATGTATATAAGGTGTTTTGATCAAATCCATGCCCACTCCCTCCCCTCCAACAGTCCCCCCTCTGAATAGGTAACCCTAAAATCTTTTAATGATTAGATACAAGCTCCCAAATACTTTTGACATTTTTGGCCTTTGGCACAGAGTATGTTGCTAGGAAGCCCAAGGACATTTTGACTTTTAGCCAAGAAACTGGCTACATTTCTTTGGGGTCTTTTTACCCTAACTGTCTAGCCAGTTCCTACCTCCTATTCTTATCATGCCATCCTCTGAAGGGGCTACCCAAATTTCCATAGAGAATAGGGATGCAGACCGCTCTGGCTTCTTCCATGCTGAGCAGTGGAATTTAGATAAGCATTAACTCAAATCTTTGGGTATCTCTATCTAGAGAAAATAGGGTTGCAATTACTTTCTTAAGTGTTGGATTGTATTATAGGGCCATTTAGTCTAATTGGTTGGAATATATATATATCTATATATACATATATACACACATATATATACACATATATATGCATATATGTGTATATATATACAGGCAGATGTGAAAACTGAACTTTTAAGATCCAAATTATAATTGAAGATGAGTTCTGTCTCTGAAGGCCACATGGGTGAGTTCTCAGATGAAGTGGGTACATGTGAACCTCAAGGTTCATCTCCTTGAATTTTGTAGGACAGGAGCAAGTTAGACGTAGCTGCATAGTCTTTTTCCTCCAGTTGAATGGAGTGTTTCATGCAGTGTCTCTTCTCTCAGTTACTGAAATCATCTGGGTTTTTTTTTAATCCTTTGAGGAAGACTGCAGCTAATTCTGAATTTAATTATATTTAAAAGTCCTTGTTTTCCTAAGCCAACTAATACTTAAGAAACCCTTTTTTTCTTGTTGTAAACAGAGACTCAAGCATTAATTTTATCTCAGGGTATTGAATTTTGACCTTAAGAATTTTAATAACCTTTATGTTATAATCAACTTAGTTATAATCCTATGTATTGAGTTTAATTTTCTTAATCTTTCTACAGCATTCTTTTAGTGTTATTTTCATTTTGGAACAATCTTTATCTTAGTAAAGTCCCTTATCTTACAAAGTCCCTTTTAATTCAGAAGCTTTTTTAAATCTTCCTTTGCCAATATAAGAATATATGTGGCATATATATCATACCTATAACTTTTTAATCTCTAGTTTCTTTACCATGACTGTTGTCTCTTTATATACAATTTAGAAAACATTTTAATAAGTATAAATGAAAATCC